GATTCACACTTAACTCCATCTGTTCGATATTTTCTATATTTAAATTGATAAAATCTTCATATTCTTCAAGACTTGATTCTTGAAAAAAATTTTCATATATATTATGTTTAATATATTTAGCATAGGTATTTTTTATTGTTCTGTTTATACAATTTACGTAATCTATATCTTTCAGAAGAAGAGAATTGTGTTTCCAAAGGCCTTTTCCTCTCTCAAATTTAGAGAAATCAAAATGCAAAATAATGGGCTTATGATCAGATTGGAAGGAAGGGTAGGTAGAATGGTGGGATATAAAGGGGCGGAGGGATTCAGATAATAAGAACATGTCAAGCCTGGCTCTTTGAGGCCCCCCATTTCTGATCCAGGTAAATAGATTTTTGTCCCCGTAAAGACTTCTATGTGCATCAATAAAAGCATAATCGTTCATCAGATTATTTAAAGTTACTCTTGCCCTTGGATTTCTTTCAGTGACATATCTGTGGTTATCCAAGTTATGATCTAAAGTGACGTTAAAATCCCCCATAATAATACAGTTAGTGAACCCTGCATTTCAAAAGTTTTCGAAAATGTTTTCAAAAAACAATGGATTATCATCGTTGGGTCCATAAATAGCCCCTAACATGAATTTATGATCATCAAATTCACATTTTAGCCATAATAAGTTTCCGACTTCATCTTTTGATAAAAATTCTATTTTGACAGGACACTTCTTATTGACCAAAATTGCTACACCCCTTGCATTAGAACTAAAGCTGCTAAAATGGCAAAAGTAGTTAGTTTCATTCTTATTAACCTTGTGCATTGATTTGCTAAAGCTGGTATCTGAGAGACATAATATATCAGACTTAGCTTGAAAAATATGATTAAAAAACTGGTTTCTTTTATTTGTATCACCCAGGCCATTGACATTTGCCGATATTATATTCAGCTGGCTAGCAGATTTATCTTGATTCAACATCATTTATATTTCTAGTTAGATAAAAAGAAAAGACTCCAGCTTCTCGCACACCCCTTATCTGCTCAAAAATTAAGTTTAAATAGGTCAGCACATTTAAGACATAGGTTAAGTTGTTTTAAAAAATTTGAATAGTAAAGTAAAGTAAAACACATTTTTAATAAGTTTATGTAAAAGTTGTAGAAAAAGAAGTGAAGGTTTGTAAAAGGATGTACATAATTTTTCTTAAAAGTTGTCCTCCCTTTTATTAGAAGAGAACCAGAAATACTATGTTTTATGGCTTTGCACCATTGTAAAGTAATAAGTTTACGAGGCTTATAAAATACATGTTTATAATAAAGTAATTATTTCTAAAGTAAGTAATTATGTGACAGGAGGGTATTTCTCAAGGCACTCAGAGATATAAAGTTATTATGGTAAAACTGGGGGGGTTTGATTACTAGTGATAAGGTATAGAAAGCTTTGAATATATTAGCGTAATTATGAAGATATCAAATATAGCTTTGCACCTTTTCTTCTAGACTTGGGGTGTGAAAATGTCTCTCAGCGTAACCAACTCCCCCCCCCCCTCCCCCCTGTCTCACTTTATAAGAATATTAGTTTACATACTGAGAAGAAGGAGTCTACGTACTATACGAATATATTTATGTTGGTATAGCTGGAGAGGTTTTAAGATCAGCTCAAGGTATATCAGGGCTTTAAATACTTTCATACAGACTTGAAAAAAAAGGAACAAAAAAGAACCCCCCCCCCCCCCCTCCTGTTGATTGTTATAAGTTGGAATGGTTTTTCTAGATGGTTTCAAGAGAGATTTTATAGTCTTTCAAGAGTCTACTGTTATATTTGCTAACTATTTGTCTACCTATGGTTGGACTGGACATCTCTATAACAGCGTTACCTCGTAGTATGTCTACTTAAGTAATTGCGTCATATTCCTGTGTCTTAAGTACTTTCTTGAGCAAAGTATCTACTTCAGACTTATCTCTCTTACCTATCCCTGTTATGATCAACTTGTTCTTAGCCTTTTCTAATGCATCCTTGGATATGGAGGTGGATGGGTGGGTACCAGGTTTAACAGAGTTTCCCAGATTTGGAGTAACAAGGTGCTCTGGTTTAGGATAGAATTCCTCTAGAATTTTAAAAGATTTCTTGCTACCTTCTTCTATATCTTTATATCTTAGTTGCATCTGATGACCTGTGAATACAATTTGTGTCTGAACTTCAAACAAATTCCTATATTTCCATGCTTGTCTCCTCATACGCTTGTAGGCTTCCCTATATCCTTGAGGTATATCTCTATCAAAACTGACCCCTGCTGGAAGATTCTTCGCGGATTTAAATAAGTCATTTCTCTGAAACTGGTTTTTTAAGCAAACGAGAATGGATGGAATCTTAACTCCGTCTCCCTTACCTAGCTGTACTACTGATACTATACTTGTTTGTATGTTTACAGGGAGTTTAAGACTGTTAAAGAGAGCTTGGACTTCGTCCATTGGTTTATCAGTTTTAAGCCCATGGATGATAAGGTTTCTATTAGCCTTATCTATGATTGTTGCCAGAGTAATCTTGTAGGAGGAAGAATCAGAAGCCGTACCTTTATCTGCTACTACCTTCATTACATTTTTCTCGAAGGATTCTTTCATCTCTTTCATCTCTTCTCTTAGCTTATCTATATCTTGCCCTTGGTTATCAGTATTAACTTGCATACTACTATATTGAGACTTAAGTTCAGCTACGTCACTAGCAATGGGACTAATCTTAGTATCTATGGCGGACAGTATCTCTCTCTTTGTCTCATCAAGTGCGGCTTGATTGGCTACAGAACTTTCTCTAATTGTTTCTGCTAAAATTGTACGAAATTCCTCATTATTCATTTTGGATTTCTTACTATCAGGACTACTAGTAGAAGAGGATTTGCGCTTGGTACCTTGCCTTTCCTTATCTTCAAAGATACGTTTTATTTTAAGTACAGTTTTGACTCCGTTAGTATCTACAGGTTGAGACGACCATACCTCCATTAAAACTGTTATGGATTAAGTAACCTAGACTTTAAAAATTGTGTTTGATAACTCAGTATGGTATTTAGCAGCTTTGCACCATAAATATTTTCAAAAGACTGACTTAGGATTAAGGTATAGACTTCAGGAGGCTGACTTCCCTTACAATGGTATTTTACAGACCGCGGCTTTGCACAGCTTGTCCATAAAGATTGTTAGTAAAATGAAATATGACGGCTTTGCACCTTAAAAATGCCTTTATTTTATGCTTTGCACATATTCCCGGTATAATCACCTGTTATATTTAGTAGCTGTAGATGGCTGTATCTTTATCTGTTATCCTCGTACACCCTGTCTGTCGCCTGCTGTCACTGATGCACGTGCGAACTGTGAACTGTAGTGCCTAGTCAGCTGATTCAGTTTTGCTAGTCTGTGGTTGGACGAAGCTCAGTACTGGACTCTCATTGGACGTTACTTGGGACGTAAAGGGTTCTCATTGGTTGGCGGTTTAGTGCATGTTTCAGGGATGTATATATACTTCGTACTCTTTACCAAACCCCCCCTTCACCCCTCTACATCTACATTATATTGCAATTCACAATGAAGTTCTTCTTATTAAAATCAAAAATTTTAAAAAAAAGTAAAGTAGCAATTCTTTTGTCCGTAAAACTCTGTTTAAGGTGTTGCTCCGTGCTAACTAGATATCTGAATAAAGGAAAACTTTGCTAAATATATATCTGAATAAAGGGAAACTTTGCTAACTAGATATCTGAATAAAGGGAAACTAGATATCTGAATTACCATCAAGCTCTCTTCTTAAGATGTGGAATAACCTGCCTCTTGACTTAAAAAGAAGCAACTCTCTAAGTTTATTTAAAAATAGACTACTAAATTCTCTTTTTGAAAATTATAGGACAATGTGTTATAAACCGAATTGCTATTCATGTAAAACTAATTAGATATGTTTTAATATGCTTTGATATTTGTTGTGTACATGTCTGAAAATTACTTTAAACTCTAGTTATTCGAATTAGTGTATAAACTATTTTGCATATGATAAATTTGCACCCTGATCTCCAATCGTTCTCCTTAAATCTATTTAATTGAAATATTTTGTTATTATTACTAAAATTAGGTGGAAAAAATAATCAAAACAGCCAAGAGCTATTATCCACCTAATTGCTTTATACTTGTACTGTTAATATAATCATCAATTTTGTGATTGTAAACTCTATCTGTATACAGATACATTTATTTTAGCAATACACTTTATCTTATCTTATCTTATCTAGGGTTTTGTTATTTTGGCTTTTGATATTTTGGCTTTTGATATTTAGGCTTTTGATATTTAGGCTTTTGTCATTTAGGGTGTTGTTGTTGTTTTGTTATTTAGGCTTTTGATATTATGGCTTTTGTTATTTAGGGTTTTGTTATTTTGGCTTTTGATATTTAGGCTTTTGATATTTAGGCTTTTGTCATTTAGGGTGTTGTTATTTAGGGTTTTGTTATTTAGGCTTTTGATATTATGGCTTTTGTTATTTAGGGTTTTGTTATTTTGGCTTTTGATATTTAGGCTTTTGATATTTAGGCTTTTGTCATTTAGGGTGTTGTTATTTAGGGTTTTGTTATTTAGGCTTTTGATATTATGGCTTTTGTTATTTAGGGTTTTGTTATTTTGGCTTTTGATATTTAGGCTTTTGTCATAAGGCTTTTGTCATTTAGGGTGTTGTTATTTAGGGGTTTGTTATTTAGGCTTTTGATATTTTGGCTTTTGATATTTAGGCTTTTGTTATTTAGGGTTTTGTGCTTTTGATATTTTGGCTTTTAATATTTAGGCTTTTGTTATTTAGGGTTTTGTTATTTAGGCTTATAATTAATTAAAGCTTTTGTTATTTACACTTAGTTCTTCACTAAGTTAGTCTATTTTTAACTCAAATGGGAGGAAGCTATTCCTTTATTTTATTATTATTATTTGTATTATTGTTATTGTTGTTGTTGTTGTTGTTGTTATTGTTATTGTTATTATTGTTATTATTGTTATTATTTAGGCAGGATATGAAACAAAACTTTCATCAGATGACATCAGAGGACATTGCAAGGTGGGTTTCTAACATCATACAATGGACAGGGTGTATCACATCAAGCTAGATCGTTTAATAAAAAAAATCTTTCAGAAAATGTCAGGTTTTTAGAGTATTAACTGCGTATTTTGGCGTTCAAGCTTGGAGCTAATCCAATATGGTCGCTCTAATCTCTAGTATCTACTTAGTCCGGGGAGGGTTTTGGTTTGTCCTAAGTTTGGTAGACTTTGTGGTTAATGAATAATTTGATTTTAAAATCACGGCTCTTCACCTTCTAAATATAAATTTAGCTTGTCTGTCTGTTTGTTTGTTTGTATCCAATAAACGTCAAAATGGCTGAACGGGCCCAAATTTATGAATGATCAAAATTTCAAAAATTAGTGTTTAAAATAGAAAATGGGCGCGAAGCGCCCTAAAAGCCTAGTGATATTACATATGGAGACGGAAGGGGAGGGAAGGGAAGGGAAGGGAAGGGAAGGGAAGGAAAGGGAAGGAAAGGGGTTTAGGAAAGTGACGGAAGGAGAGGGAAAAGGAAGGGGAAGGGTAGGGGAGGGAAAGAGGATGGAATGTAGGAAGAAAAGGGAAAATGTAGGGAGTTAAGGGTAAGAAGGATGAAATTAGGGAGGGAAAAGGGTAGGTAGATAGAGAATGGGGAAGGTAGGGAGGGAAAAGGGTAGGTAGTTAGAGAATGGGAAGGTAGGGAGGGAAAAGGGTAGGTAGTTAAAGAATGGGGAAGGTAGGGAGAGAAAAGGGTAGGTAGATAGAGAATGGGGAAGGTAGGGAGGGAAATGGAAAGGCAGGAGGGTACAGGGTAGGTACAGAAGGAAAAGAGAAGAAAATATGAAATATTTATAAAATATCGCTGATATAAACAAACATTTGTAGGTTGTACGCCAGTGATGCAGCACAGAATAATTTGTACGGCGGACGAATGACAAACAACAGGTGATTCTCAATTTTTAAATAATTAACTACATTTTGCTCCGATTCTACATTTTGCTACGATTCTACATTTTGTTATAATTGTACATTTTGCTACGATTCTACATTTTGTTATGATTCTACATTTTGTTATGATTCTACATTTTGTTATGATTCTACATTTTGTTACGATTCTACATTTTGTTACGATTATACATTTATACGATTCTACATTTTGTTAGGATTCTACATTTTGTTATAATTCTACATTTTGTTCCGATTCTACATTTTGTTCCGATTTCTTGACTGTGTTTGATCTTCAAATTTTATGCTTGAAACTTTGAATCTGCAAAATGAAAATACATTCCAGAAGCAATTCTGCGCCAATTTATTTTTCAAATGTATTATTTGTAATTTATATACAGGGTTAGTAAAAAAAAACAGGGATTATTGATGCTTTGGACAAAATGTTCAAATTTTTTATGTTTTAAGTCGTAAATAAATAAAATGTGATAAAAAAGAATTCAAAAATATGTTTGGAACATAGAAAAAAAAATCCACGAACCAAATTTTTTTGAAAAAATTGAGTTTTTGTAAACTGATAGGAAAATTTTATATAAATTCATTAAAAATTGAATGAGATATAACAATAAATCCGCAAATAATTTAGAATGGAAATCTGCAGTACATTTTATCAAAGTATAACCTTAGAACTGTTGTGACTTAAAAAATGCAAATAATTGGATCACACAATTTTTGTAATATCTCATTCAATTTTGTAATATCTCATTCAATTTTGTAATATCTCATTCAATTTTGTAATATCTCATTCAATGTTGTAATATCTCATTCAATTTTGGATCAATAAAAATTTTGAAAATGCCAAAAACATTGATAATCCTTTTTTTCTCTGTCTGTATATAATATAGTAATCTCCGTTTGTTTGTCCTATCATAACTTAGGAAGCTTTAGACCGATTTGCCTCAAATTTTTATTGGGGAACTCGGGAGACACACGGGAATGTTTTTCTTGGTTTTGAGAGTAGGTTCACTTTAATAGCGAAAATTTAGTTTAACAGTAAAATCGTTTAAATGAGGGTAAACTGCGGGATTAACTATTAGTAATCTGGGTAATGCCGGGCACTTCAGCTAATAAATAAATCTGTTTAATATCTAGGCAACGGGAGGTGAAGTCTGTGATCCATGATGCTATGGTGAAGATGCATAAGTCTCTTGAAAGTATGCCAGCAGAAGGGGACATGGAGGAGCAACCTAAATCTCTCGAGTAAACATCTAAACTAAAATCAGAATAATTAAGTTTTTAGAAGAAATGAAAGATTTATAGAAATTATCAAGGAAGAAAAAGGCTCATACATCTTTTAAACAATTTTTCATAAAGTTTAAGAAATCATAATAAATAATGACAGATAAAATGAAGTTTTAAAAAACTGTTTCATCTACATATAAATTTGGCTTGTCTGTCTGTTTGTTTGTATCCAATAAACGTCAAAACGGCTGGACCGATCGGGCCCAAATTTTTTTGGGACATCACGTGACCACAGGGAAGGTTTATGAATGATAAAAATTAAAAAAATGTGGTAAAGGTTTTTAATTTTGTAAAAAAATTTAATTTCTTGAACATCCGCAAATTTTTTTTTTAAATCCGCAAAAAATTTTTCTTCTTTGTTTTATAATGTAAACAAAAAGAACATATTCACAATTTAAATAGAAGATGGGCGCGAAGCGCCCTAAAAGCCTAGTAAATAGAAAAGACTAGATTTTTTTATGTAGAGAAGTGGGGTAGGGACGGGGAGAAGCTTCTTGAAATAAATATTATATCCTTTAAGTTTTCAGCGCAATTTATAACATCAAAAGGCATTCAGTAATCGTCAAATTTTCTTTTAACTTGTTAAATTACTAAGGGATTTTATGATTTCAACGTTTCTGAATTCAGATTCAGGCCAGATATTTCAAAACCCATCTTTATCTTTTTTGGCGATTAATGTAACATTAGTTTAGTAAAAATTTGTATAGGTTTGAAGGTTAACAATTTATCTAATATAATAAAAATTTGTGTCTGGAAACTTTGGGGACTGGTGCAAGATAGAATTTAGCATTTCATGAAAAATGTGCCCCCCTGGTTTCACCCGAAGTAGAACTTTAATATGTGGTAAACAGATTTTATGAATAGATTATTTCAGATCTTCCATTACATTATTCCCACATCAGCTGCAGGCATTGGCTTGGTTAACTTGGAGAGAACACCAGGTAGGTAGAGAGAAAAAGAGTGTTGAATAGGAAAGGGAGTCAGATCAGGTGACTAGTAGAATAGGAAAGGGGTCAGATCAGGTGACTAGTAGAATAGGAAAGGGGTCAGATCAGGTGACTAGTAGAATAGGAAAGGGGGTCAGATCAAGTGACTAGTAGAATAGGAAAGGGGTCAGATCAGGTGACTAGTAGAATAGGAAAGGGGCCAGATCAGGTGACTAGTAGAATAGAAAAGGGGTCAGATCAGGTTACAAGTGGAATAGGAAAGGGAGTCAGATCAGGTTACAAGTAGAATAGGAAAGGGAGTCGGATCAGGTTACAAGTAGAATAGGAAAGGGAGTCAGATCAGGTTACAAGTAGAATAGAAAAGGGAGTCAGATTAGGTTACAAGTAAGGAGAAAGGAGGATATTGGAAGGCCAAGGAAATCAATTTTGAGCCTCAAAATGGGATAGGAGGTTTCAGGTTTTAGGTTGTTTGATTAAGGTTGGTTACTCTTGATGTGCTCCAATGTACGTAAAATGTCGTTTCCTAAAATAGATATATCATGTAACTCTCGCCTCTTTAATCAGTGACGTCGTATGAGGTTTTTTATCTATTATACAAACTTGGTTTTGGGAGACCATTGATAATTATTGTTGTATTCAGAGTACACCTGGCGGAATTCTGGTGGATGATATGGGTCTAGGGAAACCTCTGATAATTATATTCTTGTATTCAGAGTACACCTGCTGGAATACTGGTAGATGATATGGGTCTAGGGAAACCTCTGATAATTATTCTTGTATTCAGAGTACACCTGGTGGAACACTAGCGGATGATATGGGTCTAGGGAAACCTCTGATCATTATATTCTTGTATTCAGAGTACACCTGCTGGAATACTGGTAGATGATATGGGTCTAGGGAAATCTCTGATAATTATATTCTTGTATTCAGAGTACACCTGCTGGAAAATTGGCGGATGATATGGGTTTAGGGAAACCTCTGATAATTATATTCTTGTATTCAGAGTGCACCTGGTGAAATACTGGTAGATGATATGGGTCTAGGGAAACCTCTGATAATTATATTCTTGTATTCAGAGTACACCTGGTGGAAAATTGGCGGATGATATGGGTTTAGGGAAACCTCTGATAATTATATTCTTGTATTCAGAGTACACCTGGTGGAATATTGGCGGATGATATGAGTCTAGGGAAAACCTTGACAATGATCTCTCTGATCCTTAAGCACAAGGAGGTTGAAGAGGTGAATGAGGAAAAGGTAGTTATCTAAATAATCTCCATGTTTTGATGTTAGATTAAATACATAACCTAGTATATATCTAGGATATTAGCTGGAAAACTAAGGGTTTGGGTACCTTGTATATATCTAGGATATTAGCTGGAAAACTAAGGGTTTGGTAACCTAGTATATATCTAGGATAGTAGCTGTAAAACTAATGGTTTGGGTAACCTAGTATATATCTAGGATAGTAGCTGGAAAACTAAGGGTTTGGGTAACCTAGTATATATCTAGGATAGTAGCTGTAAAACTAATGGTTTGGGTAACCTAGTATATATCTAGGATATTAGCTGGAAAACTAAGGGTATGGGTAACCTAGTATATATCTAGGATAGTAGCTGTAAAACTAATGGTTTGGGAAACCTAGTATATATCTAGGATAGTAGCTGGAAAACTAAGGGTATGGGTAACCTAGTAAAGACGAGAACAACACTTATAGTGTGCCCGGCCTCACTCATGGGACAGTGGGAGAACGAGATCAAGAACAAGGTAATACATTTTTGTAGTTTTTAGATTTTGTTATTTTCTTCTTTCAATGCCTATGTGTTTTCAAGGCTCCTTCTTTTGTCTGCCATACAACATCCCCCCTCCCCCTTCTCCAATTTTTGTATGTTTGAAATAGCACGAATATTTTTAATGGCATCTACAGTTTTGGAAACATTTCATCAAAAGATTTATGTAAACAACTTTAAATCTTTGTCTGATTATAGTTGAATGAAATTTATCCTAGCTTTTTATCCGATTTTAAAATTGATAATTTTCAATTGTTTTGTGGTTTCTATGTAAACGTGACTTGCGGATTTAAACAGCATCATTTGAGAGACTGAAAAGAAACTTTTAGAATCTAACACTTTTCCAAGACAGAAAAATGAAGATATTTTGTTGTAAATGCCTGGAAAAAATATCGGGTCACATGATATTCTGTAAACTTGCAGTATATGAAATGAATACGTAGCATGGTTAGCTTAAACCCTTTTAATATGTACATTCAACTTTTAAACGTGTGTGGAGATAGCTTAACTGTGTGATCTATCCTGGCTAATCTGAAAATACACCAACCTTAAATGCGCCTATTTCAACTGTGCTCTAATACATAATATGATTGCCTTAATCATTTGATATAGACAACGACATAGAAATTGTAATTACGTCGACTAACTTTAACTTGTAACAGATATAGCTAGTTAGAATCAGAACTCCGCTTTGATACAGTGTAGAGTAATTGTATCCTATTTGAGTATTCAGGTTGAGATCATACCTCATTTAGAGTAGAGATCAACTAAAGAGCTTTTAGATAGCCAATAATTGTGTCCCTGTGGGCCATTTAGAGCTGAAGTAATGGCTTGTTGATAGCTGCAATTGTGTCCCTGTTTGGCATTTAGAGCTGAGGCAATAGCTTGTTGATAGCTAGACTGAAACCCTGTTTTGATAAACAGGTGGGATCATCCCTCATCATTTGGGATTCATTTATAGCTTGTTTATACCTACAAGTGTACCCCTGTGTGGTATTTAGAGCCGAAGTAATAGCTTGTAGATAGCTACGCCGCGCTTGTGTCCTTTTGTGTATTTAGAGCCTGAGAAATAGCTAGATTGATAAGCTGTGCTTGTGTCCCTTTTGTGTCATTTAGAGCCAGGTGGGTTGAGTCCTGGTTGACTTGGATAGCGGTATGGTTGTGCCTGGACTGATAAAGTTTGGGGGGTGAACTTTTTTGAGTACAGTATTTCCTACATGCTTACTCCAATAAATTTGTTTAGACCTATATTAATTCAGGTACTAATTAATCCCTCTTGTTAATTTACGAGGCATATAACTATTCACTGCTTTAATACAGTACCAATCCAGGCATGTTATACGCCCATATTCTGAGGTATCTAATGTTTCAAGATACATCTCAATTCCTCTTGTTAATCCACGGTGCATAGAACTATTCAGTTCTGTAATACAGTACCAATCCAGGCATGTTAGTTAAGAAACAAATAAAATATTTTGATGTCCCATTGGAACATGCATGGAAAGTTCCGGTTTTACAAGAACTTTTAAATACAAGAATGAATAATTTATATGTTGAAGGATTCGAAGATGACGTAATAACTGAAATGATAAATATGTTATGTAATGAGTAAT